AAGTGGGACAACAAATGTCTGTCTGTCTGTCTCTCTCTCACACGCGCTCTCTCTCTCAAATCAATGATGATAAAGAAGTTTCAGTAGCTGTTGCCAGTTCTCACAGAGAAGACTTTACTAGTGTTCTCCAATTCAAGGTCACTCTCCCCCAAACCCTTACTCATACTTTATGTTGTAAATCTGTAACTTCTTTGCCAGTAACTTTTGTACAATAGAGGTTAATATTCATGTTCTTTTTTATATATATATTTTTATTGATTTTTTACAGAGAGGAAGGGAGAGGGATAGAGAGCTAGAAACGCCGATGAGAGAGAAACACCGACCAGCCGCCTCCCACACATCCCCCACTGGGGATGTGCCCGCAACCAATGCACATGCCCTTGACCGGAACCGAACCCAGGACCCCCCAGTCCGCAGACCGACGCTCCACCACTGAGCCAAACCAGCTTCGGCAATATTCATGTTCTTTAGAAAACTCTGCCTTCATTCTTGTGCTTTTTAACATTTTGAAGTACACAAATTGCAGAAAATAGCATGCGTAGTGCTTAGAAAGGAATATTTAAAATTTTATCTGATTCTAAAATTTATATACAGAACTCAAGGTTCAAAATTACATAAATATAAAAAGTTAAAAGTTCTCCATAATTTCACCTCCAGTGATAGTCACTGTTAACAATTTGGCATCTATTCCATTTTTACTTGACTTGATTTATTTTTTTAGTTAACATTCAATATTATTTTATACGAGAGGCCTGTTGCAGGAAGATTCCTGCAAGAATAGGGCTTCCACGGGCCTATTCCTGTAAGAGTAGGACTTCCTGCGGCCGGAGTAAAGCAGAGAAGGGAGCGAAGCCTCTTCCCTCCCTCTTCCTTCTAGGTTGTCTTCAGTCTTCGCTCCGCACCTGTGTATGAAGTTAACCGCCATCTTTGTTGGGTTAATTTGCATATTTGCTATGATTGGCTGATGGGCATAGCGGAGGGATGGTCATTTACATGTTTCTCTTTTATTAGTGTAGATTGTTTCAGGTGTACAGAACAGTGCTTAGATTCATTCAGTTTCTTTAACTCATTCAGGTCCAGGTCAGTACTTAGAATTGTCAGGAGATACTTGGATTTGAATGCTGGCATTATTATTTTCTCTCTGGACAAGTCACTACCCTTCTCCAGCCCTCAGTTTCCTTATCTGTTGTGGCATTTCTATACAATAGGGCAGTTCATGGTGTTATAACTTGGCACTCAGTAGAGAGTGTTAACTATTACTACTGATGATTGTTACTATTTCCACTGTCTTTGCTCAGAAACCTCAGCCATGACACCTCTTCAGTGTGGGTGCCGTGGTACCAGAGACTCTGGGGAGGGATAGGTTCATTGTGGAACCAGTGTTTGGTGCCTCTCTCGGGGTCACTGAGTGTTATCTGACATCGGGACAGAAAGGGGGGTTACAGGTGTCCCTGGATGGGCCTCAGGGAATTAATAAAATTGTGTGTTTTATGTGTTTTCTTGCTTTTCCCCATGAAATATGTCCTACTTTTTAAAATGGGAGGAAAAAATCCAGTAAATGGTACTTTAAATAAAAACAAAACTGCTTGTAGCATTTTACATAGTAATTGCCATTCTTTGGGGCCCATTCATGTCATTTCATACCTCATGTAGTACTGCAGGTATCATTCCCTTTCTCTAACTGAGGAAATGGGTTCAAAGGCGAAACCTGCTTGAGGTCCCACAACTAGTAAAGGGCAGAGCTCAACTTTGGAGCTAGAACTAAGCTCTCTTCACTGCCATGCTCCCTCTGGTAAGCCACAGGTTATAATCAGGGTTTGCGATGGTGAGCCACACCCTCCCTGACTGCCTGGTTGACCTTCCGTTTTCTGCTTTGTCTTTATATCCCACCATTTTACATTTTAACAGGCGGTGCCTAATTGTCTCTCAAAAATGTTAACCTTGCCCTGGATGGTTGCTCAGTGGCTAGAGCATCGGCCTGGGGACTGAAGGATCGAGGATTTGATTCACAGTCAGGAACACATATCTGGGGTGCAGGGTTTTTGCCTTTTTTTAAAAAAGTTTTTATTGATTTTTTAGAGAGGGGGACAGAGATGGAAACATCAGTGAGGGAAACTGATCAGCTGCCTCTTTCTTGTCCCCTATTGGGGATCAAGGCTGTAATCTGGGCTTGTGTCCTGACCAGGAATTGAACTGGGAACCTCTTGGTTCATGGGGCCAGGTAGGGTTTCAGGTTTTGATCACTGCCCTGGTCTGGGCATGTGCAAAGAGGCAACCAATCAATGTGTCTATCTCACATTGATCTTTCTTTCTCTTTCTCTTTGTGTCTCTTTCCTCCCTCTCTCATTCCTCCCTCCCTCCCTTCCATTCTCTCTAAAAACTAATGGGAAAAAATATTCTGGGGTGAGGATTTAAAAAAATATTAACCTGTTGCCGAAACCGGTTTGGCTCAGTGGATAGAGCGTCGGCCTGCAGATTGAAAGGTCCCGGGTTCGATTCTGGTCAAGGGCATGTACCTTGGTTGCGGGCATATCCCCAGTAGAGGGTGTGCAAGAGGCAACTGGTCAATGATTCTCTCTCATCGATGTTTCTAATTCTCTATCCCTCTCTCTTCCTCTCTGTAAAAAATCAATAAAATATATTTTAAAAAAATATTAACCTGTTTACACTCTAGCCAAAAGCATCCAGGACTGGTAAATTATTGATTTGTCTTGGTACCAGTTTGCTCTCACAAGGTTAACCACACCTGCTTTGTGTTTAGCCCTGCTCACCGAGAGAGAGCCGGCTGGTGAAGAAGAAGCCACATTCATTGGTTTGATTACTGATGTTTTCGTAGCACCTCCTGTGTGCCAGACCTGGTGTCAGGCATGGGGAATTTACTAACCAGTAAACAGACACATTCCTCCCCCTGAGGAGCTTACAGACCAGCAGGTGAATGCAGCTCTCACAGGTGAATGACAAGAAGTAATAAGGGGAATATAAAATGGCTCTCATTGGCTGGGAGTTCAAGAAGGACTCTCTGAGAAAGTGAAATTAATTTGGAACTTGAAGGACTAATGAGAACTACCTAGACAAAAGGCATATTGGGGAGGGTGGGCAGTTAATTTACAAAGAGAGAGCGGTAGATCTGTATATAGACATTGGAAAGAAGCATGAGACGTGTTGACAAATGATAAAAGCCATTGCAGAACAGCTTGTGTAGCTTCTGGTTTGTGTGAGAAACCCAAAGGCTGAGGTTTTGCTGGTGAATGCCGGAGTAATGACAGAAACTGTGCCAAGTGCTTATGTAAGCTCCTGCCTCACGGGAGCTCCGTGTGGAATGAGTGTTTAACGAGGGAGAATTGTCCGGGATGACTCACAGTAAATGGTGTGCCAGACTAAGCCAGGTCTCCTGGGGTGGCGGCAGGTTGTAGCTGCAGCTGCCCGGCACCTCTCCTTCTGTGTCCAGGCTGCTCCATCCTTCGATGTGTCGTTGGGGGTTCTCCACCTCCCCCAGTGAGGGGGACAGCGAGGATCCCTTGGTGCAAGTGGCTCTGAAGCCTGCACTGAGGGCCACCTCCTGCTGTGGGGGGTAGGTGGGCAGTGCTGGGGTGCTGTTGCGAGTGGGGTTGGTGTTCACCACGGGGTGACCTGCACAGGGAATGGCACTGGTGCGCTTGTATTGGGTCAAATGCTGAGATTGGCAGGGGTTGAAGTTCAGAAAGAGGGGAACCTGGGCAGTAGCTGGAGCTTTGCCTTGTCCTTGCCCGAGGGCACTCTCCCCCTTCCACAGGGAGTGCCACCTGGAAGGGAAGTGGCTGCTCCTTTCCCGCTGTCATTTCTTGGGTTCAGTTATTCTTCCCTGGTCACAGTGACCCTTGGAAGGCTTTCATCCACAGTTTAAAATTAACTAGTTCAGACCGAATCATAACAATCATTCATCTGTTGCTGCATAACAGGTTGTTGCCCCCAAACTTAGAGTATTTCAAAACAACAGACCTGTCTTGCGCGGGCCAGGAATTGGGGAGTGGCTTGTTTGGGTGGTTCTGGTCGGATTCGCTCAGAGTTGCAGTCCAGTTGTCAGCCAGGGGCGGTTATCTGAAGTTGGGCTGGAGCTGGAACACTCGCTTGTGAGATGCTGTGCTCACACACCTGGCAGCTGGTGCTGGCTATTGGCCACAGTGCTTCTCAGGTAGACCTCTCCCAGGAAAATGTCTTAACAGCATGGTGCTAGCTTCCCCAGGAGCAGGCAAAGAAAAAGAGCCACGTAGAAACCATCCTTTTTACTACCTAAGCCAGTGGTTGGCAAACTCGTTAGTCAACAGAGCCAAACATCAACAGTACAGCGATTGAAATTTTTTTTGAGAGCCCAAAACCGACTTCTGCACATGGGCCATGAAGTTTCAATCATACTGTATGTGTTCGCCCATGGTATTTTGTGGAAGAGCCACACTCAAGGGGCCAAAGAGCCGCATATGGCTCGAGAGCTGCAGTTTGCCGACCACTGACCTAGTTGAATGGATGAGAAAATTTCCAGAGTTCATCTATTCAACAGTCATTTATTGAATTTCTAGTAGGTGCCAGGTAGTGTAGATACAGGGTAAATAAGACAAATAGAGTTTGATTCCAACTCTCCAGGAGCTACAGGGCAGTGGGGTAGCCGCTGTGCCATGGCTAGTGCTTCACAGCGTGATGAGAACTTCCGCAAGTGTTCTCATCTGATCTTCCTGTGACCCTGTCATCAGCAGCGCTGGTTATGTCATGTACCCATTTCCCGTCTCTAGCGCTCAAATGATGATGCATTTCTTAAGTTGATAGAACTTGACTTTGCTCCAGCAATTCTGGCTACAAATCCCTTACCCCTTCTGCTCCACAAGCTGTGTCCTTGTCTCATCCGTTGGCCTCAGATGAGGAAACTGAAGGGCTCCTGATGTTGTCGTTTCTCCCTTTCTCACCACCCTGATCCTCCCGGGCGGACCGCCCCGAGCCCTCATTGACAGTTGCTGTCGCCTTTCTTGCAGAAAGCCCTGGGTGTGCGGCAGTACCATGTGGCCTCAGTCCTGTGCCAACGGGCCAAGGTGGCCATGAGCCACTTTGAGCCCAATGACTACATCCGCTATGACCTGCTGGAGAAGAACATCGACATCATCCGCAAGCGGTAAGGCTCCGGAGCCGTGGACACGGCCAACGGTGCTGCTGTTGCTACCCGCCCCGTCAGGCAGCATGCAGTGCTTGAGGAAGAGTGGTTGATGGTGAAGGCAGGATCAAGGCCCTCAGGGTACCGTGGTCCCTGCCGAGGAGAGGCACTGCAGATTGGCGGTGGTCTTGCTCTACCAAGGAAAAGTCCCTTATCAAGAAGCCTGGTGAGGTGGACGGGGCCTAAGAGCCAGAGAAATATCCATTTCCTCTGCTGCGAGAGGCCCAGAGAAGAGCTCGGGGACTGTGAGCGTATCTTTGTGGGGTCTCCCTTTCCTCATTTGGTAAAATGGCAGCCATCTTTGCACGGCTGTCCTGTGTTCAGGGCTGGGTGCTGGCTCCAGAAGGATGAGTAGTAAGATGCCACAGGAGGATGGGGTCAGGGCTGGTAGTATGCACAGCCAGCACTGCTTCCGGGACTCGAACAACTCCCCACCTGGTGACAGTGACCGGGGAATAAGCGAGAACAGACGAACGTACCCATTTTACAGCCAGGGAGCAGGCCAGAGGGAGAAGCAACTTGCCTGAGGCCTCACAGTGAGCGAGCGGTGGGACCTTGTCTCCTGTCCTCAGCCAGCGCTCTCAGACTGAAGGGTCGTGGTTTGATTCCTGGTCAAGGGCACGTACCTTGGTTGCAAGCTAGATCTCTGGCCAGGATCAGAGTGTGTTTGGGAGGCAACCGATTGATGCCTCCTCTCTCCCCCTCCTCTCTCCCTTCCACGCTCTCTAAAAATCAATGGGAAAATTCCCTTGGGTGAGGATTTAAAAAAAGAAGGTCCAGTTCTGTTCCCGGGAACTGGCCCTGCCATTTGGGGAAGCAGAGGGACAGGGGGATAGTGGACCCATTTTGCCGTCCTCAGTTCATCCTCAAGGAAATATGACGATGGACTCGCCCTTAGGCTTGTGTCATTGTGGGGCTTTCTATACTAGTTCAGGCGTTTGCTGTCAGGGCCTTTCTTTTTGAAGTCCGTGTGCTGTTTTTCTGTCTCCTCTGGGACCCAGAAAGAGGGGTCGTGCTCCGAAACTCCCTGCTCGTCCCACTGGCCGTGGAGATGCTGCACGAAAGGGGCAGCTGTGCCTCAGGCAGCGCTGTTTTTATTCACGTTCTCGGACAGCAGAGCACAGAGATTCTCAGAGTTGCCACTTGCTCTGCTGTTGCCCACAGAGCCAGCACCCTTGGGATCCTTGTTGCTCTCCAGGGACTTGGGAGATTGAGAGTGAGGGCTGGAACCCAGGCCAGCAGAAAGAGGTCCCTGCTTTCCCGGCAGAGTCCTATCGGCAATAACACTAATGCCAGTGGCTGAACATGACTGCGGCCAGCCAGCTTCCAGGGCTTACTGAGAGACAGTGCGGGGCGATGGAAGCCACGCTGCTGGTCCTTGCGTCCTGCTCTGCTCTTGTGCCCCGGAGCAGCCACCTCGGCTGTGCTCCCGCTTCCTGTCAGCCCTGTGGGAGAGGGGCAGCTTATGCAGTGAAGTGCTTAGAGCATGTCCAGCTCCAAGTAAGTGCTGTCATAAAACCAGTCTATAGCGACAGAAAGCAGCCAGCGGCGGTTTGTGGCTGGAGGAGAGTGGGAGGGCTCAGGGAACTTTGGGGTGATGGATGTGTTATTATCTTGATTGTGGTGATGCTTTCACAGGTGTATGCGTCTGTCAGAACTTTTCAGATAGGGAACTTTAAATATGTGCATTTACTGCACTCCACTTACACCTCAGTAAAGCTGTTTTATTTTAAGTGCTGTCTGTTACCTCATTCCAGGCAAAGTCCTGGACTTAGACAGGTTGGTGAGCTCCCTGAAGAGGACTGTCGCTAATCTGTCACATTGGTTTAGTAATGGGGTCAGATCTAGACCCAGAGCCTCTCACTCCTAATCTGATACCCCCCCCCCCTTTTTTTCTTACTTACTGGGTGTGAGTGGAACTCTGCCGTCCCAGGAGGCCTCAGCTTTGGCATAAGCTGTGTGCGTGGTGGGAGGCAGCGTGAGGTCCAGCCACGGCTGCTGAAGGGCAGCCAGATGCAGGGGCAGCAGCAGAGAACATCAGGGCGCCTCAGGTGGGCGGTGAGAGCTGAGTTGGGAACCCTGGGAGAAGGAAGTATTTGAGTCCCGGCAGGGGCTGCCCTTCCTCAGCGGCAGACTTCTCTGCTGTTTGGCCTGAGGAGGAAGGAAGGGGGTGGGTCAATGAGAGGAGGACCAGTGCAAGGCCAGAGGCAGGTAATTCTTATTTTATTTTATTTTATTTTTTATTAAATTATCATCTGTGTACATATCTTACCATCCCCCCCACTCCCCTCAAGAGGCAGGTAATTCTTAAAAGCAAAACAAAACACCACCTCTTGTGACTATTCATCAAGTAATCTTGGATCACCTAGTAAGTGCCCAGCCCCGTGCTGTGTGCTGGAGATGGCACAGTGAGCAGGCCACTCCGGCCCCAGCCTGGCGGGGTGAACGGTCCCCTCCTCCCAGGGGGACCATGTGCACAGAGGGCAGTGCCGTGGGTGGGCAGGGCATTGTGCAGACAGTACCAAGCAACCTCTGCCATCTTCCCAGACTGAACCGGCCTCTGACGCTCTCTGAGAAGCTTGTGTACGGACACCTGGATGACCCGGCCAATCAGGAGATCGAGCGGGGCAAGACGTATCTGCGGCTGCGGCCGGACCGTGTGGCCATGCAGGACGCCACGGCCCAGATGGCCATGCTGCAGTTCATCAGCAGCGGGCTGCCCAAGGTGGCCGTGCCCTCCACCATCCACTGCGACCACCTGATCGAGGCCCAGGTCGGCGGAGAGAAAGACCTTCGTCGCGCCAAGGTGAGCTGGGGTGGGGGGACGGTGGGTGTGACACGAGGTGAGAGGCAAACCCCTCGAACTGGGCATGGCCTCCACATTCTGATGGGCTCTTCCTTTGGGTTAGTCATTTAAAATTTTTAAAAATATGTTTTTATTTATTTCAGAGAGGAAGGGAGAGGGAGAGAGATAGAAACATCGGTGATGAGAGAGAATCATTGATAACTGCCTCCTGCACGCCCCACACTGAGGATTGAGCTGCAGCTGGGCATGACCGGGAGTCAACCTGTGACCTCCTGGTTCCTAGGTCAATAGTCAACCACTGAACCACACTGGCCGGTCATAGTCTTTTTTTAAAAAATTCTTTTTGTACTTCTCTAATTCTTAAAATATCATTTACTCATTTTGAAGATGTTAGAAAACCTAAAAAAACAAAATCATCCTTTACACGTTAAGCACCATGTCATTCACCGGTGACCAACACTGTACTTCTGTTCAGACCTTGTCAGTCTCCGGCCGCCAGCATGACACACGTCGGTGACATGTTGGTGAAATTGATTATCTTAGGCTAAACGAAAAGGAAAACAGGCTTGGCACTTAACGTGTTAATCTGACTGCATTTATGGTATTTTTTTTTTCTGGTGCTTTCTCTGTTATGTTAGAAAAATGATGCTGGTGTCAGGTTCTGGTGGATGTTGACAGCTGCTCTGAAGAGGATAGTTTAAATTTCCCATTCTGTCAGCATCATGGTGCACCCACTCACACTCTGTCTGACCCCGAAGGTCCTCGCAGGGAGGAAGGCTGGTGGTTATAATGTAAACCTGAGGCAGCAAAGGCACCGTGTAGTCAGTCCCACAGCCGCGTGGAGCAGGCCATGGTCAGGGCCAGACCCAGACGCGGCTCCCACCTGAGTGCTCTCTCTTTCTGACGGGCCTCCTTTGGGGCTCTCTTCTTCTGTTTTGTTTTTGTTGTTTGTTTTTCTTTTTTTTCTTCTTGTTTTGCTTACTGAGGCCCAGGGGCTGTGTGCCACCCTGAATTCCCACACCCTCCTTATGAACCAAACCCCTGCCCCTGCCCCTGCCCCTGCCCCGGCTCTGCTGGTGGTGCCTCTGTGAGTGCTTACACTTGGCAACAGCAGGTCTCCCAGACCGGGCCTCCGCCCTCTCCACCCCCGCAGTGGAGTGGGCGCCCCTCGTGGGGGGCCGTTGGCAGGAGCTGAATGCTGGCAGGGCCTCGGCCCAGCCAGGCGCAGAGCAGGCAGGGCATGCAGTTGAAAGGGGTCCGCTCTCTGGGAGCCACTCAGACCCATGGGAAAGGCTCAGGGCAGCTCTCCCGCTCCAGCCCTTTCTTCCCCGCTGGCCGCCGGCCCGTGTCCTGCTTGCACAGTGGCTCTTTCTGTGCTCTGCTGGCAGTGGTTGCCATGTCAGCAGCGGCGGTGATGGTAGCATTGCAGAGGCCCCTGTGGTGCCCAGGAACTGGGACCTTATCACCCTCTGGTGACTGACTGCCCACAGCAGGGCCACCGCCCTCAGGGCCGGCCTTCCCCTTCCTTTGTGAACTCAGAATCTGCCTCTGGAGTGAGAGTCACAGGCTCCTAAGGCTTCAGAGCTCATCCCCCATTTAGTTAACAGATGTTATTGAACATTCATTCTATGCCAGACACTCCTAGGAGCTAGGGGCTAGGCCCTGCCATGATGCTTCTCAGTCTGGTAGGGAGACAGCTAAACAGTCACACGAATAAACAGGAAATTGCCAGTTTATATGTGTTGGAGGGAAAGCGCCGGACTCTGAGAGCAAGAAGACTGTCAGGCTTGTGGTTTGCAGGGGAAAGGACGCCTCTTTGAGGATTAATACATAAACTGGAACCTGCCTGAGCAGATAAGTTGATGTTAACTGTGGGGGAGAACATTCTAGAGAGAACAGTGTGTATAAAGGCCCCAAGGCGGGAAGCAGCTCGGTGCATTTATGGAATGGAAGGGAGCTCTGTGTGTGAGAGAGGGGGATGAGGTGTTGGGGGCTGGTGTGGTCAGGGCCTTGGAGACATGGGCTCCATCCCAGGAGCCATTGAGCTTGAGGAGGAGGGGCATCTGGTCAGATTTACGTGGTGGGGCGAGAGGCAACGTGATCCGTCCAGGGTCACAGGCAGCCTGGAGGGTCTGGGCCAAGTTCAGGCCCCGCACTGATGCACCACTCGGGGCACCGCACTGCCTCTTCCCCACTTGCACATGCACCCAGACACGCCTGCCTCCCGCCCGTGGTGCCAGTTTATGAGTGACTAGTTGTAAATGAAAAAGCCAGTGCATTAATAATTAATCGGAAAGAGGCTGCTCTGGGAGAACCAAATGGGCCCTCAGAAGGGGGCGTGGTTGGTCTGGCGTTAGTGAAGGGGTTACGTGGTATTGAGGGCTTAGGGGAGCTGACGTGGGTCCCTCCTCTGCCTGGGAGCGTGGCTCTCCTGCTCAGAGGCTGGCAGGTCTCGTTTCCTAGTTCTGCCTTTAGGACTGTGAGTCCGAGGTAGTCATACCCCTTGTCACTGGGGTCTCACTGTCCAGGGCATGCCATGTCTTCCACCCGGGCTCCCACCCATGTGCGGGAAGCCTGCTGCCCTGAGGAGGCTGCCTTCTAATCCAGACAGATGGGTTTGGCTGCCCTGTCGTTTATTGGAAACCTACCTTTCAGGACATGGTCCACTTGGCAGTCTTTCGTTTGGGGCCCATCAAATGTATTGCCAAGTATTGGGCACCCGGGCTGTGCCAGGTGCTGTCCAGGGTTCTGAGGTGGGGAAGGTGCCGTTATTTCCCATCAGAATGTGGTTCTCGGGCTCGGGGTGAACAGGCCTGGTTTCAAACCCTGGCTCCTCTGGGACCGCCAGCAAGCGGTTTGCCCTCCCGGCCTGTTTCTGCACCTGTACGCGGCTTGGGGACACCTCCCTCCCTCAGGGGCTGGTGAGGATGTTCGGCGTGCTGCCCTCTCCGGGTGGGCGCAGCCAGTGTCAGCGGGTCACAGATAGGCGTCCAGGCTCCGGTGGAGAAGGGCGCCACGTTCTGCGCTGGCGGCCCTCTCTGCCGGCTCTGGCGGAGGCCTGGGCGCCTGGGCCCTGGGAGGTGATGCAGCCCCGTTCCTTCTACAAATAAGGAAACTGAGACCCACGGCAGGGGAGGAACTGGTTCTGGACCCGCTCCCTGTCCAGGAATTGTAAAACTGGGCTCTGTCTCTGCTCACTTGCCTCCCTCCCAGGCTGCCAGCTGAACCGTGGGCCACCGTCCAGCCCTCTGGGCTATTTGTGGAGGCGCCGGGAGAGCCTGGCTCCACGTTGCCAGCGTGTCAGGGCCGTGGCAGGCGGGGAGGTCAGGTGGGAGGAGGGCATGAGCAAGGGTTATCCCAGGCACAGACTGTGACTAATGCTCCCGTATTGATTTGTCTCAACAGGACATAAACGAGGAAGTGTATAAATTCCTGGCATCTGCAGGAGCCAAGTATGGCGTGGGCTTCTGGCGGCCTGGCTCTGGAATCATTCACCAGGTAACGCAGTGCTTGGCCTGCCTGTGGGGGTGGCGGGCTGCCCTGCGGGAGCCAGAGGGCCTCCGGCCTGCAGGCGCAGGGGCTCAGGGCTCGGGAGGGAGGAGGGGAGATGGAGGACGACATCTCAGTCAGCCCCTGGGCTTCTCCTCTTTCATTTTTACATTAATTTTCATTATGTCAAGTTACACTTTCTCGCCCTGACCGGTTTGGCTCAGTGGCTAGAGCATTGGCCTGAGGACTGGGGTGTCAAGGGTTTGATTCCGGGTTTGATGTGGTTGCAGGCACATCTCCAGTGGGGGGGCGTGCAGGAGGCAACTGATCGATGTTCCTCGCTCATAGATGTTTCTAACTCTCTGTCCCTCTTCTTTCTTCTCTGTGTAAAAAATCAATTAAAAAAAAATTTTTTTTAAGTTATACTTTCTCACTTTCCATGTAAGAAATTAAAATAGCCCCTCTGACGGCCTCGGTCACCAGCCCTTTAAGTTTGGCGTGTTTCCTGCTGCCCTTCTAAGCATTAGTGTTGCATTACTGTTTGCCTCCTTTGCTCGGTCAGCTCACGCTAGCTGAGCACATGCCAGGGCCAGCATAGGCTTAGCGCTTTCATAGTCACTCCCTCAGTGCTCACCACACCCTCTGAGAAGGGGGATTTATCAGCACACCTTACAGGCGAGGAAACAGGCATGAGAAGTTAACCTACTTGCCCATATGTGTGTTGGGAGAATAATTCCATCTGACCTGATTATGGAGTTGGATTTGCATCCAGGTGTCTGGCCCAGGTGCCAGTGCTCCCTGCTGCTATGCAGCCTCCTGCCACCCTGTGCGCCTCCCCGTCCGGCACCAGCACTCCTCGGAGTCTCCTTGGCCCCTTGTGGTATTCAGGAGGATGAAGGGACTTAGGCACAGGGCCGTGTCGACCAGCAGTTCTCCCAGAGTCTCTCCAACGAGGAATTGTCTCTGAGTTGGCAGTTGTGTCTGTGTAAGTGCACGTGTTTGTGTTTGGGGAGACAGGTGCTTAGCTTCTCAGCACGTGCCCACTGTTCTGGTTTGTGGCTGGGCACTGACGGTGTATCTGTCATCCGTGTGAAGCCTGCCTCTGCACCGTTCCAAGGTGACCCTGCTCCCCACCTCCGTCCCGGGCCTCACTCTCCCCCCCCCCCCCCCCCCCCCCCGCCACCTTCAGGACCAGCTGAGTCAGGCTGTAATCCAGCCCTGCGGGTCCCAGCACTGCCCACTCTGAAACCAGAGCCACGGATCGCTGCTCTGCCCTTTCAAACCCTCGCCCTTGCCAGGAAGGGGCTGCCAGCAATACAGGTCACATCAGTCTGCGGGCTGGAAAGCCTCTCAGCGGCAGGCCAGGGAGTCAGGCGGACCCAGCCTGGCCTTTGTTGCTAAGGACACCCTAATCCAGGTGTCCCCCGTTCTGCCTCAGCACAAATGCCCAGGCCTTTGGAAGCTCTGGGACCAAAGTTTGGGGGAGGCAGCTCACACCTGCCACTGGCTGCCAGCTAAGCACAGAGCCTGATGATTTGTTTCTTTAAAAGGAAATTCCAGGGAATTCTTCACTTTTCTCTCCCCTCTGATGTCATTTACCAGCAGTTTTAATCCACCATGTCCAAGTCAAACCCTACTCCTTTCCCCCTGGAATGCCTTGGCAGATTCTTCTCTCATCTCCCCTGCCAGACCCCCACCCCCAGTGCCCAGCATTGGCGCCCTTGTAGGGCCCCTTCACAGTGACCACAGTGTGTGCCAACCACCGGCTCTGTGCTCTGGGGAAGGACTGTGGCTTATTTCTCCCTCTTGGCCCGCAGCCAGGTCAGCACAGAATCGGTCCTCAGTGTGTGTGTGTCGTATGGACAGATGGTTGAATTTCCAGCTTTATGTTCTGGATGTTAGTTCAGCCTAAAATACGCTTCTCCACCGTCACCCCTACCCCCATTCACCCAGCCATGTCCTGCTGACCCCGCCATAACCAGCTTCACCGTGACACTTTGTGTAGTCCGTGGTCTGCACAGCCTCTCCCTTCTGGGCGTGGACCACACTGTGGTCTGCATCCTGCGTGCACTGAGTTCTGTGTGCTGGTCTTCGTGGACCAGTCTCCGTACAGGACTGAGGCGAGGAGGGCCAGAGAAAGGGAACAGCTAACAGAGTGCTCGGCAGCAGTGGTTTTTTGTTGGAGATTTCTTCTGTTTGCCTATCCTCCCAGCCTGCTGCCAGCCTTGGGAAGGGGCCAGATTTCTAACTCTGCTCCTCAGAGGAGGCCCTCGTACCTGGCCGAGGCCCCAGGCAGGTGCCTGGCCAGAGCGGAGGCCCCGGGGTTCTGTGATGCTGCAGGGAGCCTGCACCATTTGGTCGGTCTGACTGTTCATAGAGCCTTTCACATCTCTGATCTCATTGGGCCTTCCCAGCACCCATACGTGCGTCACGGGAATAATTCCATCTGACAGATGAGCAACAGAAACTCAGATAAAGGATCTTGCTGCAAATAGTAAATTAAAAAATGATGCATGTCCCAGGCACTATTACAGTTTAATGTACATAAGCTCAGCCATCACAGTGATGCGTAAGGTAAGCACTGTTATTTGCCGTTTTTAAAAAGATAATAATTTCAGAGAGGAAGGGAGATGGAGAGAGATAGAAACATCAATGATGACTAGCTGCCTCCTGCACGCTCCCTATTGGGGACCAAGCCCGTAACCCAGGCATATGCCCTTGATTGGAATCGAACCCGGGACCCTTCAGTCCGCAGGCTGACGCTCTATCCACTGAGCCAATCAGCTAGGGCTGCCTGTTTTTATAGATGAGGAAACTGAGGTGCAGGGAAGCACTTATAAACCCAAGTCACACAGCCAGGAGCAGTTCATGAGCCCAGCCACCCGTCTCCATGGGGCCCTACCTCCATTCTCTGCTGGAGGCTTGTTAAAAAGTATATTTTTTAAATTGATTTCAGAGAGGAAGGGGGGGGGGGTGATTAAACACAAGTGATGAGAAAGGATCATTGATCAGTTGCCTCCTTCGCACTCCCTACTAGGGATCGAGCCTGCAACCCGGGCATGTGTCCTGACCAGGAATCTTTGACCTCCTGGTCCATAGGTCAATTCTCAACTACTGAGCCACACTAGCGGGGCTGAAGGCTTTTAAAACTTAAGATCTTGGGTTCTTGAGATCTTTTTCAGATCATTCTGGAAAACTATGCATATCCTGGGGCTCTTCTGATTGGCACCGACTCCCATACCCCCAACGGCGGCGGCCTGGGGGCCATCTGCATTGGAGTCGGGGGTGCTGATGCGGTGGACGTCATGGCGGGCATTCCCTGGGAGCTGAAGTGCCCCAAGGTGAGGAGCAGGGACGGGCTGCTCGGGGTGCTCGGAGGGTGGCTGCGGAGGATGAGTGGGACCCACAAAGCGTGAGTGAGCAGGTCAGCCTGCCGCGCTCTGGGAAGGGGGCAGGGAGCAGTCAGCCGGGGCGGGAAACCCAGCAGGCGGGCTCCTGGTTCGCATGGCGCGCAGACCTGTAATCGCTGTCTTGCCCGTCCATCCAGGTGATTGGCGTGAAGCTGACGGGCTCTCTCTCCGGATGGAGCTCACCCAAAGACGTGATCCTAAAGGTGGCCGGAATCCTCACCGTGAAAGGGGGCACGGGCGCTATTGTGGAGTACCACGGACCGGGCGTGGAGTCCATCTCCTGCACCGGTGAGGACGCCGGCGGTGCCCCCGGCGTTGGGCCAAGTGGGACTGGAGTTGAGCCGCGGAGCAGTGAGGGGCGTTCCACTGAGAAGCTGTCCAGTCAGCTGGGAACTTGGGATGACTCAGGCAGAGGGGAGATGGTTAGTCCAGGTCCCTCATCAAACGGGAGGAGGTGCAGGTCCCTCCAGGAGGGCAGGGCACTGCCCTGTGGCCACACAGAATTGGGCTAAGCCAGCTTCTGCTGCACGGCTCCGGCCATGGCCTGGGTACCTCGGTGTGCAGAGGTGATCCAGAGAGGGACTGGGGAGCCAGAGCCAGGGCTCCCTGCTCTCCCCCCTTCCCCATCTCTGGCTGGGGCGGAGCTGCACTCACCTCCCTGGGAGCGGCAGGAGCCGGGCCTTTCCCGCTCTCGCTCCTGAGGACCTGGCCTCGTGCCCGGCCTTCAGGAATCCAGGGAGAGGCTTGGACCAGGCTTTGGAGATGGCCCCGGCCAGGCGCCCCGAGCTGCCTGTCTCAGGGCCACCCAGCTCCTGCTCAGCTGGCCCTGCACCCTTCCCATGTTGGGGACGGGGCACTCTTACAGGTTGCCCTTCCTGCTATTGGCGCCTCAGTCAGGAAGTCGGTAACAAACCCAGACCTGTGTCCTACTGACCTTATGAGGCCAGTATTTTGACAGCAGTCAGGTCATCTGTAAGCCTTGCCAGTTATTCATTGATCGATTGATTTCAGGGAGGAAGGGAGAGGCAGGGGAAAAAAGAAACATCAGTGATATGAGAGAATCATTGATTGGCTGCCTCCTGCACACCCATCTGACTAGGAATCAAACCATGACCTCCTGGTTCATAGGTCGACACTTAACCACTGAGCCACACTGGCCGGGCAGCTTTACCAGTTCTGTGTGGGACTCCGTGGTCCAACCAGTGGACATTGTTCCAGTCTTACTGCTGGAAAGCCTGGGAGCCAGCAACATTTCCACGTAGCACCACAGTGTGGCTAACGGACAGCGGGAGGACCTGGACCTCAATGTCGCACTTGCATTTGCTTTATGGCATGACCTGGGACCTCTCTGCCAGGTCACCCTTCAGCACACTGGCTGCTCCTACTGAGCAGGACAGCCATCCAGAGCTAGAACTCGGCCTGTAAGGGCTGAATCGCGTGTCCTCTTCACTCTACCCAGCTGCTTCTCTGAGCCCCACACCTGGGCTCCAGCCCCGCGGCCTCTCTTCATTGGCCTGTTTAACCCGGCCTCTCGGCCGCGTGAGCGAGGGGAGCGGTGCCGGTGAGAAGATGGGGAGCGCAGGGCAGGTGTGAGGGACCCACACCAGCCGCTCAGCGGCCCCGCTCTTTCTCCTCAGGCATGGCGACCATCTGCAACATGGGCGCAGAGATCGGGGCCACGACTTCGGTGTTCCCTTACAACCACAGAATGAAGACTTACCTGACCAAGACCGGCCGCAAAGGTGAGCGCCGGGCAGGGGGGCGGGCGGAATAGCCGTCAGCACACCTTCCCTTAGGACGGGGCTCCTGGACCAGAGTCTCCGGACTGGCTTCGGGCCTGAGGAGCCCCTGAACGTGTCTGCAGCTGTGTGTGTGCTCTTGTCTGGGAGTTGGGTGTCTGCTCTCACCAGCTTCTCGAAGGGCCTCAGGGTTGGACTTTAGTTTCACCTGAGAGGGTGCTCTGTTGAATCTTCTTGGCCTGGTCCCTGGCGCCCCCTGCAGGAAGGTCTGGAAATGGCAGCGATCTGCTTGTGTTTATAATTCCCACCTTACCAAGGGGAGGAGGAAAAGCATTTGTTAACAAGAACCCCTCTCCCAGCCTCCCTCACAGCTCCCCTGAGGTTCTAGCTTGGCGTCACTAGCCTGGGAAGGGCAGTGAGCGGGGGTGATGGGTGGAGCCAGAGGCCAAGGCTGAGGGGCGAGCGAGTCTGTTTGCTCCTACACTCTGAGCACACGGAGTCACTCCTGCAGGGCCTCCCCTCCCGTCCAAGCAGCTTCTTCAGAACTCAGCGCTTCTCCTCTCCAGGCGGCCTTCCCTTCTCTGTGTGCCCGTGTCCCTGTGTCTGTCAGCGTGTTGTCACTCTGCTCGCTGACACGACTGTAGCTCCTCGAGGTCAGAGACCACGTGCTATCTGCTCGTTTTGTTTCTTTGTTTGCCATCAGTGCCCAGGGCCGTGTTTGGCAGGTGCTGGTGATTGTGGCTTGGATGGTTGGGTGCGTGCGTGAGTGGGTGGGAGGATGGATGGATGGATGAAGTGTCAAGGACCCATGACCAATTTCAGTTTCACATACTTCAGCCTCCCTCCCTTGTTGATTTCAGAGATTGCCAACCTAGCTGAGGAGTTCAAGGGCCTCCTGGTACCTGACCCTGGCTGCCACTATGACCAAGTGATTGAAATTAACCTTAACGAGGTGAGGAAGGGAACTGGCTCCAAGGAGTTCCTGCAGGTGGCGAGCTCAGGCTCCCCTTGGTGTGCCCTGGGGAGGTCAGGGAGGGTGCCGGCCTGTACACCTGCAGGGCTCCTGGGCCTCTGGCTCCCCAGTGCCCCTGCCAGCTGCAGCTGAACCAGGCGCCAGGGCGGTGGGAGGGGCTGAGCGCAGAGGGGGCTGCGGCTGATGCGGAAGCTGGTTCAGTTGGCCACACCTTAGCTTCAGCGGAAGTCAGGATGGTGTCCTGGAGCTTGCTTTGTTGTCTGAGGTCAGGCCTGAGAGTCCCAGGTGTAAGCAGTTTGGGGCCCTGAGACCTGCAGATCAGGCTAGAGGACAGGCAGGCTGTGGGAGCAGTATGGCCTCCCAGGGAGGGACCAGACAGCCTCCGAGGAAGAGAAGCTGTCCACACTCCAAGATCTGTTCTCTCCTCCCTTCTGCTTCTCACGCCTTTTTTCTTCAGCTGAAGCCCCTCATCAACGGGCCCTTCACCCCTGACCTGGCCCACTCGGTGGCCGAAGTGGGCTCTGTGGCCGAGAAGGAAGGCTGGCCTGTGGACATCAAAGTGGGTGAGCAGCTGCCCCCTGCCGGGACTGCCGAGGGGCCAGGGGCTGCGGGGCTGCGGACAGTTGCCTGTACTCACCATGGTGCTTCCTTAATGTACCCGGTGCCCTCTGAAATGGTTTGGGTTTTCTCTGTGGCTTTTTAAAGAAATTACTTTTTCTTGGTGTAAAAGAAATAAGCTCATTGTAAAACATCGCTAATCTCAGCCCCCAACTAAAAACCAGCTCTAGGAGCTCTTTGAGATGTGTGCTGTTTCTGTGCACACGCACATATTCATGTGTGTCTCCTTCTGTACGAACATGTCACATATCACCCAGGACACCTGGTTTCTCTGTATATGCACGCACACACTGGCATGCCGCCATCACTAGCGCCTGCCGTCGTCACAGTGAGTGTGGCCGTGAAGAGCATGGCTCCAGAGCCAGGCGGCCGTGTTTGGATCTGGCTCTGCCCCTTCATGGTTGGGTGATCAGGGCAAGTTGCCTCACTCCCACGTCCTGGTTCTGTCTGTAAAGTGGGGTCGTCGTGCTTACGCGGTGACGGTCTTGGGAGGAATGACAAGTTAATATATGAAAAGAGCTCTCCGCACTGTGCCATAAAGTGCTGTATAATGTGGTCTACCTTACTAGTGAAGCAAATAAAATATTTGGTGGTTTAATAATTAGAAAAAAATAGCTGAATTGATGAGACTAGACTGTCTTGATACCTATAGATAGTATGTCATCCTGACTTTTGTAATAACTGTGATAATAGACTTTTTAAAAAGAACTCTTCTCCCTCTCCCCCACCTATTAAACCAATTTTTAAAACCCAGAGAATTCCAGAAAGTCTAAACGAAGAAAATGAGCATCTCCTGTGGCCCTCACCCAGCAATAGCCTGTTTCAGTGGAGCCCCCTGGTGTGCACACACCCACAGAGCACACTATCCTAAGAGCAGTGGCGTGCTCAGTGTCACGCTGTCCTCCCCTGTGGCTGGGTCACGAGTAGCTCATTCTTTCAGGAGAGCTGGGCTGCTTCCAGTTCGTCTCTGTTCAGAACAACCCTGGCCCAGCACAGTCGGTGGCCACTTGACCAGGTCTGGTCACTGTCTCCTCCTGACTCCTACCTCCTCCCTCCCCGCCACAATGTGCCAGGTCTGATCGGCAGCTGCACCAACTCCAGCTATGAGGACATGGGACGCTCAGCAGCTGTGGCCAAGCAGGCGCTGGATCACGGACTCAAGTGCAAGTCCCAGTTCACCATCACACCGGGCTCTGAGCAGATCCGCGCCACCATTGAGCGAGACGGCTATGTGAGTGCCCACATGCCCTGCCCCTGGCTCAACCCGCTGCGTAATGCGGCTTCAGGACAGGACAAGCCGCAGTGTTGTGGGCTAGAGCTGCTCAGGGCCCTGCAGCTGCCCCTGGGTTCCAGACAGCTCTGGAGCCACCTGAGCCACCTTCCCTGCCCCTGGTAACGCCTGTCCGCCTTTCTCCCGCAGGCACAGATCCTGAGGGATGTGGGCGGCGTCGTCCTGGCCAATGCCTGTGGCCCCTGCATTGGCCAGTGGGACAGGTGAGAGGCATGTCTTTGGTTGGATAGGCCATCCCTTGTGTCTGGGGTTTGGAGCCCCAGATGTTGAGGGGAGATGTTATTGGGAAGGAGACGAGGCTCTAGCTTCGGGCAAGACTGGAACGTTGGGCCGGAAGTAAAGAGGGAGAGCCTGCAGTGGGCCTGAGTGGCCACCTGACTGAAGGGAGGCTGCGGGAAGAAGCCAAGGAGGCCTCACCCTACCGGGCACAGCAGGGCTCACAGAGCCACCTGAAGGGGGCAGTGGCCCAGGCCAGCAGTCAGGCCCGTCTTTTCTCTGGCCTCCAGTGAACCTCAATGACCCCCACGGTTCCCTGTGGCTCTGTCTGCGGAGGCCCACAGTGGAGGCTCGTTTCAGGGTCTTCCTGTACCCCTTCTCCAGAGGTAGGCAGAATGGCCAGGTGACGAGGCCAGACACCCCTAACCCTGTCCTCTGACCGGCAGGAAGGACATCAAGAAGGGGGACAAGAACACAATCGTCACCTCCTACAACAGGAACTTCACAGGCCGCAATGACGCGAACCCTGAGACCCATGCCTTCGTCACCTCCCCAGAGGTGAGGACCTAGCCCTGCCCCTAGCCAGTCGGGAGGTCGAGGGGCATGGGGCTGGGCAAGGGCATTTGGCCACGGATCTGCCTGGGAGGGTTGGCAGTGAAGGGCAAGGGGTTCTGGGAGCAGAAACCGAGGTCACAGCCTTGCCAGCACCAAGCACTGTGCTCCATGGGGCCACCACTTGGCCCCCTCACGTCCCAGGAGTCAGAGGTCTTGTTTAGTACAGCTGTGACCACGAGCAGGAGCTATGGAGTTAGCACCAGGACAGATGCCCCACCCAGCCGTCCTGGCTTGGCCAGGCCTCTGCTCTGTGCCCCGATCCTGTCAGGATTGCATGAGCAACACGGAAAGCACGAGCACCGTCAGCGGACAAGGCCTCCTCATGAGGATGGACATGGAGTGAGCCCTGTGCTCCAGGCACTCGGTGGGGGTTCAGCACACAACCAGTCCTATTTGTCTATCTATCTACCTATCTGTCCTATTTCAGAGAGGGAGGGAGAGAGAGAAACAACAGTGATGAGAGAGAATCATTGATTGGCTGCCTCCTGCATGCCTCACACTGGGGACCGAGCCTGCAATCCAGGCATGTGCCCTGAAGGGGAATCGAACCATGACCTCCTGGTTTATAGGTCAACGCTCAACCACTGAGCCATGCTGGCCAGGCCAGCCAGTCCTTGATTTGATTTTTTTAGATAAGTACTTGAGAAATACTTTGTTGGGGTTTTTTTTGTTTGCTTTTTTTATGTTTTTTTGTTTTTGGGGTTGTTTTTTTTTTTACTAAAAATGAGTGCCAAGATGGCCTTCCATGTTTCCAGGGTGCTGCCTACTTAGGGACATTTTTATGTATATAAACAACCCTGGCCCAGCACGTATATACTAGAAATTCATTGGATGGGAGCTGGGGGATCCCTCAGCCCAGCCTGCACCCTCACATCCTTAGGGATGCTGTGGAGGTGGGAGAGGCTCCCCCACAGCCGCTGCGCTCTGCAACCTTGAGCCCGGCTTCTGTACAGCACTCCCCCTGGTGGTCAGTGCGTGTCATAGGACCGGTTAGTCCACCGTTTGGTTGATTTGCATATTAGCCTTTTAATATATAGGATTTTAAAAATGTATTTTTTTGTTGATTCCAGGGAGAAAGGGAGAGGGAGAGATAAAAACATTGATGGGAGAGAGTCAGTGATTGGCTGCCTCTTACATGCCCCGTACTGGGGATGGAGCCCATAATCTGGGCATGTGCCCTTCACTGAAATTGAACCCAGGACCCTTCAGTCCACAGGCTAACACTATCCACTGGGCAAAACTGGCCAGGGCTCTGCTTAGGGACATTTTTATCACAGCAGGGCCTCTCCCTGCCCAGGTGGCACACCTGGGAGAAGAGAGTGTACCCAGCAGTGCTGGCCCTGCCCTGAGGACGCTGAGGTCCAGACCCCAGTGGGGAGTAGTCGAGGCCAGACTGCCCTGGGTTCAAATCCTCTGCAGATCCGACGGCTGGTGGTCCCAGAGCTATTCCTGCAGCTCCAGCTCTGCAGAGACGTGGAAATTTCCTGGGCTGGGCTCCGTTTTGATCTAGACTTTGGCTGGAGGTGGGGGACCGGAGTGGCATTCAGTGCTAACCAAGCTGGCCGCCTGTTTCAGATTGTCACAGCCCTGGCCATTGCTGGCACCCTCAAGTTCAACCCAGAGACTGACTTCCTGACAGGCAAGGATGGCAAGAAGTTCAAGCTGGAGCCCCCGAACGCGGACGAGCTTCCAAAGACGGTGAGCGGGCACTGCCCTGAGCTCCCAGTCCCGCAGGCCCCGGCCACTCCACTGCCTTCCCAGTCTGGCCCTGGGCAGGCACGGCGGTGCCGTTAGTGACCGGGAAGCCGCTGTGTTCACTGGGAGGGAAGGGCTTTAGGCACAGGGGTCTGAGGACTCCATGCCCATGTCCCTGTCCCTCCACAGAATTTCGACCCTGGGCAGGACACCTACCAGCACCCTCCCAAGGATGGCAGTGGGCAGCGGGTGGACGTGAGCCCCACCAGCCAGCGCCTGCAGCTCCTGGAGCCTTTTGACAAATGGGATGGCAAAGACCTGGAGGACCTTCAGATCCTTATCAAGGTCAGCAGCGTGGAGCCGAGAGCAGCCCCAGCCTGCCTGGCACCTTTCCTGCCCGGCAGGACAGCCTGGGCCGGGGGGAAGGGCAAGGCTAAGGCGAGGGGCGGGAAGGGGGTGTGGCTGCAGAGAAGCAAGGGCATCTGCAGCCCAGTGTCCCCTTCGCTGGCCCGGGCCGGGCAGAGCTGGATCTGGCAGCCGCTGTCTGGGCTCCAGCCATCTGGTTGCTGCCGGTGAGGGCCACCCCCAGTGGGTACGGGCAGTGAATGCCCCTCAGGGAGGGCAAGAGAGGCATGTGTGACTCAGCACGTAGGTCTCCGCCCCTCAGTGGAGCCATTGATTGCTCTGCTCCCAAAGCTGGGCATTCGCCGTGTGGCCTGTGCTCGGGAGCTGAGCGAACACAAGCCTCTGTGGTGCGGGCCAAGGCCTTGCCCAGGGCGGACAGGAACCTCTGAATGCTGTTCCCTCAGGAGCCTCCACACAGCGACACAGGCAGCAGTGAGCCTGGGTTGCTCTAGGGGGGCTGGGCCTGAAGGGCGAGCGAGCAGACCTGCCTGGCTGCCCCGACTAGCCTCTGCCCCCTTTGAGTGTCCATTCCAGATCTCACTCCCAAGCCCCGAGAGGGGCCTGGTCTGAGCCCTTTTGCTCACTGGTGACCATGCCAGGGCTGCAGGCCACACATCCTGCACCTCTTCTCAGTCACTGGGCCTGCTGCCTGCCTCCAGAGGGCTTCTGCCCTGATCCACCGCCCAAGGGCCATGCACCAATCCTCTCTGTCCCCCCTCCCAAGGTCAAAGGAAAGTGTACCACTGACCACATCTCGGCTGCCGGCCCCTGGCTCAAGTTCCGTGGGCACCTGGACAACATCTCCAACAACTTGCTCATTGGTGCCATCAACATTGAAAACGGCAAGGCCAACTCTGTGCGCAACGCCGTCACCCAGGAGTTTGGCCCTGTCCCCGACACTGCCCGCTACTATAAGGTGGGTCAGTCCATGGGAAGGGGAGTGGGGTCCTCTGGCACCTCCTGGTGGCCGGGTGGCCGGGTGGGTGGTCCGGGAAGGGGTGCTCTCCATCCAGGAGCCCACACCAGGAGCTCTGTGTGGGCTAACGATCGCTGTCCAGTGCCATGGAGGCAGGTCCACGTATGTCCCCTGCACTGAACACCCCTGCTCCGGGCTCTGCTCCCCACCGCGGCCTCCGCCCAGCCTGCCTGTGCCGGGCACCGTGTGGGCTGACCTCCCCTTGCCCACTATGTTCACTCCGACTTCCTGTCCTTGGGGAGCAGGTGAGGAGGGGCCTCTCCCTCCCATGACCTGTGACCTTCAGGAAGCCCAGAGGCAGGTGGCAGGCCAGTCCTCCTCTTCCTCATCCTCCCTCCCTCCCTGACAGAAACACGGCATCCGGTGGGTGGTGATCGGAGATGAGAACTACGGCGAGGGTTCAAGCCGGGAGCACGCGGCGCTGGAGCCCCGCCACCTCGGGGGTCGGGCCATCATCACCAAGAGCTTCGCCAGGATCCACGGTGAGCGGGAGCTCTGGCTCCTCACTGGCAGCCCAAGGTCACCGCAGCCATGTTCCTGGTTTCCAGGCTGTGCCCGTGGCTCCCGTTTTCCACACCCCCAGCCTCTGCCCCTTCAGATTCCTGTTGAGTCTCACTCTCACAGCTTCCGGTCTTTGGCAAGCACTGGCCTTGCTTCCTGACTTGTGGGCGCAAACAGGTGACATCCAGGCCACACGGTCAGCAGGGTGTGTGCTGGTGTCTGTCAGGAAGGCGTTGCGGACACAGCACCCGCGCCCTGTAGGACCCTAGCGAGAGGCAGCACATCGCAGGAGTGCAGCCGACCTGGGCCTTGTAGTCACTGGCCCACGTTTGCCCCAGTGGCAGGACGAGGGCGTCTCCCGGAGGCCTCACTGCACTTAGGAAAGCTCTCTGGCCGGGGAGGGCCCTGCCCACTGGGCTGAACGTGCTTCCTGCCTTCCAGAAACCAACCTGAAGAAGCAGGGCCTGCTGCCCCTCACCTTCGCTGACCCCGCCGACTACAACAAGATCCACCCCGTGGACAAGCTGACCATCCAGGGCCTGAAGGACTTTGCCCCCGGCAAGGTCAGGGGGCCAGGGAAGGGGGCAGCTGGCTCCCCATCTCCCCTAGGGTTCTGAGGGGGGCACACAGTGCAGCCACCTTGCTTCCCTTCCTGCATCTGCCCCACCTGCCCCTCTTCCCATGAGCCTTTGTTCCAGCTGGAAGGGCCCGTAAGTTCTCCAGGCCACCCCAGTGAGGGCAGTGTCTCCCCAGAAATGAGGGAACCGGCTCAGGTCCTGCTGTTCACTCATTAGCCCAGGCTTGGCACTCAGAGGCCAGCAGCTCATGCCCAGCAGGACTACCTTGGCCTCAGCAGTTCCTTTATTCAGGTCTTACCACTGGCCTAGGACTGGGTTCGCCTGCTGGCACCCAAGGCCCCAGGCGGTACCCTGACCCCCCAGCAGAACCCGGGCCGTGTTCCTAAGAGCCGCTCCGCCCACACCGCCTCCTCTCTTGCAGCCGCTGACATGCATCATCAAGCACCCCAACGGCACCCAGGAGACCATCCTCCTGAACCACACCTTCAACGAGGGCCAGATCGAGTGGTTCCGCGCTGGCAGCGCCCTCAACAGAATGAAGGAGCTGCAGCAGTAACTCTGCCCGCCCTCAGCTCGGCTCCCGCCACCGGAGTGCTGCATGTCACCAGAACCGGATCTGGCCCGACCCCCGGGCTGCCTGCACTGAGCAGGCACGGCCTGCCCGCCGCCCTCAGCCCGCGGGGCGGCCCGTGGTTGGAGGGTTCTAACCTGCCCTCCCAGTTTAGTTCGGTTCGTGCAGCTGTATTTATTTTATTTTAACGACAAGACTCCCATCTAAAGTTCACTCCTGTCTGATCATTTCACTGGTGGCTGACGGATTTAAAGAACCTTTTAATCTTGCAAGAATCCATTCAGTGACTGTTCCCGTGTGAGAGATGGTGTCGTGCTGTTACCACCCCTGGGTTTGGGGGCTCCTTTCACCAGTTGGTGGAGGCCCTCACTAATCGGCCACAGCTGGACCCGTCACTGCAGCGAAGCAGCGTGAGCCAGCTGACTCCCCCTTCTCCCTCCTTCCCAGGTGGGCCCGTGCTGGGCCTGGTGGCACCGTGCCAGACTCCTTCCGCTGCCTCCCCTTCCTCGGGGCATTCCGTCTCCAAACACCAGTAGGCACAGGCCACTCTGCCCAGGTCACAGCTCGTCCATGGTGCGCACTCGTGGCCCGCAGCAGGAGGCAGTGGCAGGCACCTATTCCACAGCTCCTCCCCCTGGAGCCGCACCTGCTGGCACTGCCCACACCTCTGGTGCCCTGTGTGGGCCAAAAGGGCAAGGGCAGGGGGCCCTTCATCTAGTTTTACCACAAAACCAGTGTCCTGGTCCCCGTAGAAGTGGGTGAATGTGGCAGAACCATTCTGAGTAAACAGTGGTACCTGCCCTCAGGCCAGGATCTGGGGTCCGCGCAGACCCACGGTGTTCCTGTGGTGGCCATGGTCTGAGTGACGGCTGTCCCCACGCTTCCTCTACACTGATGGGAGGGAGGGATGGCACAGCGGGTCACCGGTCCTCACTTTGAGCCCGCCAGGCCCATGGCCGCCACCTTACAAATGTTAGTGGGAAGGAAGGTGCTTGTCCCTTAATCCTCCCTCTTCCCAGCAACTGACAGCTCCATGGCCCGGGGCAGCTGCCCCAGGCCCACCTCTCACTCCCTGTATTACCTTACGGAGCCACCAAGCTCAACCAGCCAGAGCCCGGCCTGAGGCAGCCTGGTGCTCAGCCCCAATCCTGCCATTTGTGGGGGTCCGCCTCCACACGTGATCTGAAGAGAGGAAGGACATGTGTCCCAGCTGTGGCAACTCGACCTTAGGTCGTGACACAGCCAGTGAGACAGGTGACTCCTCAACTGATGTTGCCATTGTTTATTCAATAAAGTCTGTCACTGAGAGCGGGACTTCCGGGGAGAGGAGCCAGGATGGCAGGGAGGAGACCAGCCGGCAGGGCACTCCTGGCTCCACTGGTAACTCCCTACCGCAGACTGCTGCTCGGCATCCGGCTGCTGCTGGCTTCCGGCACCTCCCGAGGCTGGGGTAGGGCCTGCGGACTGGGTTGGTCCACCGTCGGGCACTGGGCTAGCTGCTAGTCCACCAGGAGAGAAGGCCCAGGCCCGGCTCACTAATGGATCCCTGCCGGGAGGAGAACAGGCACATGTCAGCTACCTGTGGGGCTTGAGCCAATTCAGGAGACAAAAGGAGCCCTTTGTTCAGGGTACCCAGCGGCACACAGCCAGACCCTCCTGCCCAGCTTCTGAGGCCTGAAAGGAAAGCGCAGGTTTTCTGAGGACACTGCCCCAAGGACACTGCCCCAAGGCCCGTCCAGGAGCACCTGCGGGTGAGCGTGCCCTCCCGAGCCACCTGTGGTCTCTTCCTGCCCCGAAGGCCTGGTGACCTTGAGCCCCAGCAGCCAAGTACATAGGGGGATGCCCTGGGCCACCTGGGTTTCTGACTCGTGACCCACAAAGTGTACGATCGGGGGCTGACATGACCCCAGAAGGCCCCGAGACCCACTTCTGTCTCCGAGCTCATGAGGGAAAAGGCTAAAGGAACCCAAGTCGGCTCTGGCTGGTCACAGCTTCCCTGTCACCTCAGGCCCATGCTGGGTCTGGTGGGGGAGCAGCCCTGAGGGTCACTCCCTGGATCCCCTCCTCGGTTCTCCCGTTATCAGTGGCCTTGTCATCAGGCTTGACTGTCTACACCTCCCCACAAGGATTCCGGCTCCAGCCAGAGACCCATGCTCCAGGGAGGCATGGCTGCCCTCTGACCTGCTGTGGGAGGGGCTCCAGGAGCGGGACCAGTCACCACAGCCCAGGGGTTCGGCAGCACACGCGCCATCTCACCACAAGCGTGTACGGGGCCTCCTTCTTGGGCTCCTCGCTGGTAGAGGCCGCCTCGGCGGAGCTGGGCCCAGTGGGGGACGTGTCCACAAAGCTCTCGTCCACCACGCGGAAGCGGATCTCCTCGCCGGTGTCCATGTACAGGTCGTGTGCCCCTTCCTCCGTCTCGTACTCCCACACCCACACCTGCTCTGCGTCGTCGCTGGGCAGGGCGCAGGTCAAGGCAACAACCGGACGTGGGGGAGTTCCTGAGGGTTGGGGGTTCCTCCCACAGAACCCCCCCCCCCCCGAAAATCCAGTCCCAGATTGAGTTCACTCTGGCTGGCAGCGGCCTGGGCCCGAGGAGAGGAGCAGGCTGGGAACTCGGGGCCCCCACCAAGCAGCCACAGGCTCCGCAGGTCATCAAAGCAAGGAGGAGGCTTGAGAGCAGAGTTGGGAGTTTGCCTCTCAAGATGGGAATGGCGATGGCCAGCTGCTGCCTGGGGTCCCCCCTGCAGGGTCCAACTCGGCCTGTGCATCCTCTGAGGCCACTGCCAAGTGCAGAATCAGCCCCACCGCCCGCAGCTGTGACCTGGGGTCAGGCCCCACCCTTCGGGGCCTCCATCTGTAAAATGGGGGCTGTAGCAAGGCGCACCTCACAGGGAGAGCGTGGGAAAGGTAAACATGGAAAGGACCCATCGGTCAGCCCCGTGTTCGCTAAGCTGTCCCGTGCCCTGTGCCCCGTGCGAGCCCACACCCCTTTCCACTCACACCACCAGGCAGTGCGAGGACTTTCCCAGTTTTCAAGGGGTTGATGGAGGGAGGTCATGTGCCTGAGGGCCCACAACTGGTGAGAGCAGCAGTGGGGGTGAGTCGGGTTTTCTGACAAATTCTGGAATCTCACGCAGTCCTCGGCCCTGACCCTGGCCCTGGCTGAACTCTTGTCTGCTGGACCACTGGAGCCACGGTGCCCTCTAGTGGCAGCCAGGGGGTCCTGCCTCTCCTGGTCCAGGTCCTGCACTGGGCATCACAGGTACAGTCATGACAGGATGGGGTCCCTCCCAGTGAGCAGTGGGGTCCCTTCAGTGAGGATGCAGCAGGCGAGGGCCGGGACAGGGAGAGCCGCAGAGGCAACAACCCAGCCCAGGCCCCTCAGTAAGCCCTGCAGTGCTGGCTGTCCTACCCCCTCACAGACCAGGAGGGGGAGGAGCCGCCAGGGCAAAGCTCTCAAGGGAAATTATCTGCGATGACTCCCGCAGGGACAACCTAAGTAAGCCAAGTGAACCGGACGTGAGCAGCATCCTGCCTACAGCATACAACCTGCACAGCCAGGCCTGGCAGCCCAGGCACAGGCATGGGCATGGGGCAGCATGGTCAGGGGGAAGCACAGGCAGGTCGGTGCTTCCAGAACACAAGCACAGCTGGCGGATGGCCAGAGGCCGGCAGCTTCAGGCCACACCATGGAGGGACCGCCTTCCAGGGGCCCGAGCACCGGGCCCACTTTCACGCCGGGAGGATACAACTTGGCTGGCTGCTGCAGCGACTCGGGGGGGATGAGGATGTCGTCGAAGAACCCTAGAGAGACTGGGAGTGACGGCGTGGGACAGGGCTGAGCGCGGACAGCTCAGCACGGAGGGGCCTGGACACTCCAGCGGCGAGCCCCTTACTGGGTGCTGTCTATGGAAATGACCCCCCAGCCTCGGGGTCCTGCATGGGCCCCTGCCTACACCACTCACACACCCCGAGCAGCCACTGCACACGACATGGACAGTGGGTGCTGACCACCCTGTCCCCTCCGCCCACTCCAGGACCCGAGGCCGAGGTCCCGCCTCACGGTGAAGCTCACAGCGCTGAGGTCCTCGCCACTGCATGAATATTCTCCCTCTCCCCGACCCCTCCCCTGACCACGGGGCCCAGCACAGAAGCTAAAGAGAGGCCATCTGGCCTGGCCAATGGTCCAGCCACCCCCCCACCGCCCGCTTCCTGTGCTCCCAGGTGTCGCCGGAGGAGTCAGGGCGCCATTACCGTGCACTCCCTCGGGGCTGCAGCCTTTGATCTTCCCGATCAGAATCTCGTCCAGGAACGGGTGGAACACCACGTAGCGGAAATGGACTGGAAAGGAAAGCAGTCAGTGACGCGCAGGCACGAGAGCGATGGCTGCTTCGTTCGCCAGCACACTGACCCGGAGGCCCCGTGGCTGCTCCACTGTGGGCCCAGCCCCCCAAGCGGGGTCAGAGGGACCCTCACGCCGTCCCCTGTAAGAGGCCAGCCACAGTGGCCCTGGGTCTGAGAGCTGGCTCCCAAATCCATCAGGCGATCACACCCGAGTCCCTCTGGTGGCAGCCGATTCTGGGCCAATGACAACAAAGTCAATTCCAACCTCCCTCCAGGCCCTCCTTTCGATTCTAAAAGGGCAGGAGCACCTGGCAAAGGCGCCCCCACTGGTGAAGTGTGCCCCGGGCACAGCTCTGACCTGAAATGCTACCAGTGCCCAGAGATTAAGGAAGGGGGACAGAGCTGACAACTGCCCAGCATGCATGCTTCTGTGGGTCCTCGGACCCCGTCCTGGGAGGCCCCATTCGCCGGACTGCACGCCAGGCCTGGCAGAAGCCAGCACCCTGCCACTCCGCCCCTCTTAAAGCACTGAAGCGGGGGAGATGGGGAGCATCCACCACTGGCCTGAATACCCAGGGCTAAAATGGATGAGGCTGCCCCCTGCTGGCCACTGAGTGATTATCTCAATCTTCCCTGGTCAGCTGTCATGTTATTGCTGCCCAGAGAGGCTGGTAACCTGTCAGTCACACAGCCGTTCTGCCTTGTTCTGCCATGGGGAGACTCCGAGTCTTTCTGGACCACCAGGCAGGGCCATGTGGTGGAACTGCCTTCCTCAGACAGGTTCAGTCCCTGCGCGCAGGCTTCTGCCACCAGCACCCTCAGCTGCCCAGGGACAGCACGGCCCACCAGCCCCAGCTCTGCCAGCTGCCCCTCGCGGCTCCGTGGGGCAGGAAGGCCTGGGGGAAGGGGACGGGGCAGTGGGCACCCCCTCCCTGTCTGTGAGGAGGCAAAGGGACACCTAAGCCATCGTGAAGCTTTACAGGTCCTCATCGGACCTCATGGAGAGCAAAGGAGGGCGGCCAAGGGTCACTTACCGCAGGATGGAAAAACCCCGTCCCCCACGTGACACCACATCAGTTCAGCTCACGAAATCCCCACGGGGCCTCTGCCAAGCTGTGCCAGGCCGGTCCGGGCACTGGACGTCCGGGGGGGGAGGGGGGGGCGCGGGCAGAACAGTGCGGTCTGTGCCCCGGGAGCACCATCTGGAGGAGCCACTCCCGAAAGCACACGGGGGCCCCCAGAGGGATGGGGGCTGGGACCCTGCACGGCCGCGTGACGGATGTATCCTCCTCAGAGGAGGGAGGTGCTGGCACATGCTCCAACAGGGCTGGCCCTCGAGGCCCTGAGATTTCTTACAGAGAAGGAAACTGAGGCCCAGAGAGAAGATTCTACCTATCAGTGAGATTCTACCTGAGAACTAGGCCCCAGGTCTCCCACCCCCAGACCGGACCCCACCCCCGAAAGCTGAGCCTCAGGAGGGCCAAGGCCCGGGAGAGGAGGGTGCCTACCTTTGGTGTGCGACGCACCGTCCCCAGGAAACACATAGGCGTCCTCCAGCTTGGTGATGTCGAACAGACAGATGCAGAGTCCCACGTTGTACACGACCTGTACACACACACACACACTCAGTGGCCCCAGGCCCAGCTCCCCAAGGCAGGTGTCATCACCCCGTTTGACAGCTAGGGACGAGCTGGGGCCCTGCCTACAGGAGCCCAGATAAGGAGCCTCAGAAGGAGGTGGAGCCCCTGGAAAAACAGGGCCTCTGGTGACAAGGCAGATCCAGGTTCAATGCCAGCGCCACCGCTCCGTGTGACCTCCAAGGCCATCTCTGAGCCTTGGTTTCCCAGCTGCAGAAATGGACTGACCAGGTGGCAGGGTTGTTAAATAGGGAGAGTGGATGGGAAACGCCTACCCAGTACCCGGCTCACGTGCTACAGTAATAATCAGTCAAGGATCACTGTTATTACTAGTGGGGATAGTGGTAGGAGAACCCCTGGTTAAACCTACTCTTCCCAAGGTCCCCAAGTCCACGCTAGAGCTCAGCTCGGTGAACCTGAGAACCACAACTAATCTCTGTTCTGCTCACAGAGCCTCAGACACACAGGCACGGCCACCGGGATCGAGGCTGGCAGAGTGACACGTGGCCACGGTCCCAAGATGGCAGAGAACAGCCCAGGCCCCATTCCCACCCCACCCCCTGGTGCTCCAACAACAGGCCGCTTGCGTGGTGTCTGCTAATCTGCCACCAGCGTCATCACTCCCAATGAGGGACCCTGCAGGGCGGTTCGAGGATTAGCAAGAAGCTCAGAGAACTCAGAGTCCCGGCCAGCACAGCTCTGTGCCCTTAGCTAGACCGCGGACCTCTCTGTCTGGCCTCCTCACAAATGACTCAGTGATTCAAATATAGAGCCTCAGCCAGTCTGGCCCAGCGGATAGTGTCAGCCTCAGGACTGAAGGGTCCCGGGGTTCAATTCCGGTCAAGGGCACATGCCCAGGTGCGGGCTCAATCCCCAGTAGGGGGGTGTGCAGGAGGCAGCCAATCTATGATTTTCTCTCATTGATGTTTCTATCTCTCTCTCCCTCTCCCTTCTTCTCTGAAATCAATAAAAAATATATATATATATTTAAAAAGTATATATACTTTCAACAATAAAAAATTTTTAGAAAGTGTATATATATATATATATATATATATATAGAGAGAGAGAGAGAGAGAGAGAGAGAGAGACTTGTCTCATGCTGGCTAGTGTGGCTCGGTTGGTTGCGTGCTGTCCATGCACCAAAAGGTTACGGGTTCAATTCCCAGTCAAGGCACATACCTGGGTTGCAAGCTGGACCCCACTAGGGGGCATACAATCAGTGTTTCTCTCTCATAATGATGTTTCCCTCTCTCCCTTCATCTCTCTCTAAAAATCAATAAAAACATATTTGAAAAACAAAGAAAGAGAGACTTGTCCCAATAGGTCCCTAAGGACCCATGTCTCAAAGGAGCTCCATGCCATTCTTGGACTCTGCACTCCTTCTCTCCACCGTGATCACACTTCACCTCACAGGCTTCTGGCTTCCGACATCACAAAGTCACCAGAAGCTTCCACCACGGGCTCCCCGAGTCCTCGCCGCCACCACCCACTCCCCAGGTCTGCACCCCTCTGTGAGCTCAGCTCGTGCTTTCTGTCCAAAGCCAGCCAACCCAACCCCCGGAAGGCTCCTCCCCCTGCGGGCTCCTCCCCCTGCAGGCTCCTCCCCTGAAGGCTCCTCCCCCTGCAGGTTCCTCCCTGCAGGCTCCTCCCACGTGCTGCTCCAGGGTTGAACACCAGATCCCATGCAGTCCTGGCGTCCCCGTGCGGCTTGCCCTTGCCCAGCCACCCCAGCCTCCGCCACGCCTGAAGGTACAGTATTCCCTCCCAAGGTCACCTGCTGGTCCCCCTGTCAGCACAGCCCCCCTCTGGGCGCAGCCCCTCCCCTAACGGATCCTCTGTTAGCTCCTGCTCTGCCTACCAATGCAGCTGCCACCCTCACTACAGATTCCGTTCTTCCACGGGCTGTGCGCCCCTGTCCGTCACAGCCTCTTCCTCAACTGTCGTCCCTCAGCTGTGGGATCCCCTCCTTCTCATCCGCTTTTCCCGCCACACTGCAGGGCAGAGCCTGGTCTGTGTCACCCACCCCATCAGCAGACAACTGCGGGGCGTCCCTCTGTGCCAGACTCCGCCTGACATGGGGAGCCACTGCGGGAAGGGAGAAGGCAGACAAAGGCCCCTGCCCTCCTGGAGAGGAAAAGCTAAACAGGAAAAGTTAAACAAACAAACGAGAAAAGAGAACAGAAACTAAAGTGCTAAGAAGGAGTGATGTCACGGGATAACTGAGGAGGGAGGGTCGCTGCAGACAAGGCAGCGACTCTGGCGAGCTGGCACTGAGGCCCGTAGGTCTGGCACACAGAAGGTGCACGTACATGTTTTTGCAAGAATCAACGGATAGCCGAAACCGGTTTGGCTCAGTGGATAGAGCGCCGGCCTGCGGACTGAAAGGTCCCGGGTTCGATTCCGGTCAAGGGCATGTATCTTGGTTGTGGGCACATCCCCAGTAGGGGGTGTGCAGGAGGCAGCTGGTTGATGTTTCTCTCTCATCGATGTTTCTAACTCTCTATCCCTCTCTCTTCCTCACTGTAAAAAATCAATAAAATATATTTAAAAATTTTAAATAAATAATAAAAAAAGAATCGGTGGATAGCCGAAACCGGTTTGTCTCAGTGGACAGAGCGTCGGCCTGCGGACTGAAAGGTCCCAGGTTCGAATCCGGTCAAAGGCTTGTACTTTGGTTGCGGGCACATTCCCGGTGGGGGCTGTGCAGGAGGCAGCTGGTTGATGTTTCTCTCTCATCAGTGTTTCTAGCTCTCTATCTCTCTCCCTTCCTCTCTGAACAAAATCAATAAAACATATATTTTTAAAAAGAATTAATGGATAAACCTCCTACCATCCATCTTGACAAAAGCAATGCATGGTTGGACCGAAATTATTTCCTTTTTAAAAAGTACATTTTTATTGGTTTCAGAGAGAAGGGAGAGAGAGAGACACACACACACATCAATGATGAATCACTGACTGGCTGCCTCCTGCACGCCCCACACTGGGGATGGAGATCACAACCCAGGCAGGTGCCCTGACAGGGAATCGAACCGTGACCTCCAGGTTCATAGGTCGATGCTCAACCACTGAGCCATACCGGCTGGGGCAGCAATGATTATTTCGATTTTACAAAAGGAACCCGAGTGAAGCCCAGAGTGTGAGGTTGCAAAGGAACTCGGGAAAGTGTGAAACCTCGCACTCGGCAGTCCTAAGGGCCTTTCTCAAACCAGATTTCCTTTGGGTTCCCTCCGACGTCCGTGTGGGATCGGGACCGCCAGGCGCAGGGGAGAAAACCGAGTCCTGAGGTTCGCCTCTTGCCCGAGGCCCACGCCGGTGGGCAGTGCGGGCCCTCCCGGCCCCGGCCTCCCGTCCCGCCCTCGGCCTCCCGGCCCCGCCCTCGGCCTCCCGGCCCCGCCCTCGGCCTCCCGCCCTCGGCCTCCCGGCCCCGCCCTCGGCCTCCCGGCCCCGCCCTCGGCCTCCCGGCCCCGCCCTCGGCCTCCCGGCCCCGCCCTCGGCCTCCCGGCCCCGCCCTCGGCCTCCCGGCCCCGCCCTCGGCCTCCCGGCCCCGCCCTCGGCCTCCCGGCCCCGCCCTCGGCCTCCCGGCCCCGCCCTCGGCCTCCCGGCCCCGCCGGCCCAGTACCTTGTTGGCCAACTTCTTATTCAGCTCCTCGGCGATGGAGTCGTTGAGCTTCCTCTCAAACTGCCACGGCGGGATCCGCACGGTGTCCACCATCTCCACCAGGACGAACATCGCGGCCGGCGCCGCGGGCTCTGGGGGCGGGAGGGTCAGTCACGCACGTGGGCCCGGGGCTGGGCGTCCCCGAGCCCCTGGCGCCCCGTCCCGCCGCTGAGACAGCCCTCCGCCCGGCAATATGGCTGTGCGGCAGGGGCTGCGGCGTCCCGCGCGGGGCATGTTCCGCTTCTGCAAAGGGAGGACACAGACTCAGCGCGAGGGGAACTCCGTCCCGCGGGAAGCGCACGTGCCCGCGCCGCGCCGCCCGACCCCCGGCCACACGCCCCGCGCCGCCGCCACGCACCACTCACGCACGCGCCGCCGGCGGTCGCACCACTGCGAACGAGATTCCGAATCTATGACTTCCGGAAAGCTGACCAATAAGAAGCCTGTGCCCGCCCCTCGGCCTGGAGCGGCGCTGCCTACTGGCTCCTTTGCCTAGCGGGTGGGGCGGGGCCTATCCTGCCTTCTCCAAGCTCAGCTGTCAACCCTCACACAACGCTACCTGGTTGCTAGGCGACCGCAGTGCAACCAATCCGCTCTTGCCAGTGCCATACTCTCCTTGCTGGCCTCAGGCTGTCTCCTGCTTTGTAGCCAGAGTCATCCCTTCAAAACGCACACACAACCGAAACCGGTTTGGCTCAATGGATAGATCGTCGGCTTGGGGACTGAAGGGTCCTGGGTTCGATTCCGGTCAAGGGCATGTACCTTGGTTGCGGGCATATCCCCAGTAGGGGGTGTGCAAGAGGCAGCTGGACGATGACTCTCTCTCATCGATGTTTCTAACTCTATCTCTCTCCTTTCCTATCTGTACAAAATCAATAAAATGTATTTTTTTCAAAAAACACATACACACAATATACTGCTTAGACCCTTCTGAACTCTGGACACGGGGAGAATTGACTGGAAAGAGTCAGGCAGGACCTTTCTGGGGTGATAGAAATGACATGTCTTGCCCTAGCCGTTTTGACTCAGTGGATAGTGTTGGCCTGCGAACTGAAGGGTCCCGGGTTCGAGTCCTGTCAAGAGCACATGCCAGGGTTGCGGGCTAGATCTCCAGTAAGAGGCCTGCAGGAGGCAGCCGATTAATGGTTCTCTCTCATCATTGATATTTCTATCTCTCCCTCTCCCTTCCTATCTGAAATCAATAAAAAAAAAATTTTTTTTTTAAAGAAGAAAAGAAAAGAAAAAGAAAAAAAGAAAGGATGTGTCTTCTTTTAGGTGGTGGTTATACAATTCTCAAAACTCATGGAACTCAACACTTAAGACCTTTGCATTTATTAGAGGCCGATTACATCTCATTTGAAAAGTGGTAATACGTTGGGACCGAAAAACCACCTCAGAGCTTCTCACTGGACTAATAATGAAGTCCAAACCCTTATGGTAGCTCACAAAGCCCGGATGGATCTTCTTACTCATACCCACACCTCCACTTTCTCTTTCCCCGCGTTCCCGTCCCCTTCATCTTGATCTGATAGCTAACGTGGACTTAAGCTAAGAGAATTCAGTAACTTGTCCAAGATCAGGGGCTGCTAAGTCTAAACCTCTCCAGGCACGGGGAACCTTTTTTCTGTCAAGGACCATTTGGATATTTATAGCATCATCCCAGGTCCATACAGAAGATGTACCAACTTAAAAATCAACCTGCTTACTGAAACTGGTTTGGCTCAGTGGATAGAGTGTCTGCCTGCGGACTGAAAGGTCCCAGGTTCGATTCCGGTCAAGGGCACATCCTTGGTTGTGGGCACATCCCCGGTAGGCAGCTGTAGGCAGCTGATCAATGTTTCTCTCACATCAAAGTTTTTAGCTCTCTATCCCTCTTCCTTCCTCTCTGTAAAAAAAAAAAAATTAAAAAATATATATATATATATATAAAATCAGCCTGCTCTATTTGGTCAAATATTTAATTAACTCACTCCTAATGCCTTGGCAGGGCCAGACTAGATTATTTTGAGGTCCTTCTACGGCCTGAGGGCCAGATGGTCCCCACTCCTGCTCTACATTATACTGCCTCTAAAGTTGGTGGGTTGTGGAAATATACTGTAGTGTGTTTTAATCAAATAAAAACTTGAGAACTTACGAAGAGCCTTGGGGTAGGTGACAGGCGCACTCAGAAATGCAAGCTACTTTAATTTGCTGATTTCACTCTCTTTAGAGCACTCTCTTTGAGACGGGCTGCAGTGGTACTGAATTTGACCTTCCCTGCATCTGTATTTTTATGTACAGGTCTGTCTGCCTCTCCTAGGATTTGAGCTACTTGAAGACAGGGGGAAATGCTACTTCTGCTTTTTATGCCCACAATCCCCTACCATCTTTCCTCCGAGGCATTCAGTAAAAGTGTTTAGGAGGATCTATTATTTCTCTCAAATCTTCCCTCTTCATTCTATTCCCACAGCGACTGCCCTGGTTCTGGGTCTCTTTATTGTTCCCTGGAGCTTAGCCTCCTACCCAGCTCCCAGCCTTATTCTCGTCGGCAGGCAGCTGCCACTGTCACAAAAGCCTTCCCTCGTGAATGTCCTTTATCCCACAGAAACGTCTGGATTAAACCCAGCCTTCCCCTCCAACCTCACCTCCCTTCTGTTCTCCGGCCCCAAGATGGAACCAGTTCTTTTATAGCCCTGCCTCCATCACTTCTTTGCCTGGGAAACTTTTTTTAAAAAATTTTTTTTTATTAATTTCAGAGAAGAAGAGAGAGAGGCATAAATATCAATGATGAGAGAGAATCATTAATCAGCTGCCTCCTGCAGCCCACTACTGGAGATTGAGCCCACAACCTGGGCATGTACCCTGACCGAGAATTGAACCTGTGACCTCTTGGTTCCTAGGTTGATGCTCAACTGCTGAGCCACACCGGATGGGCTACCTGGAAAACATTTATTCATCCATTAAGACCCAGGCCCTGGCCAGGGAGCTCAGTTGGTTAGAATGTTGTCTCGATACATCAAGGTGGTGGGTTTGATCCCCAGTCAGGGTTCATATAAGAATCAACCAATGAATGCATAACTAAGTGAAATAACAAACAGATGTTTCTTTCTCTCTCTCTCTCTCTGTCTCTCTCCCCGCCTCCCCAAACAAAAACAAAAACGAATGCAATACCTTTCTCATTCATTCATTCTTTCAACATACTGTCGGGGATCCAAGATGGCTGCGCCCAGGTGAACACCTAGCCGCAGCCTCACACAACAATTTCAATAAAATACAACTAAAATATAAAACGGACATTACCCAGAACTACAGGAAAGTTGACTGACTGGAAATTCTACAACGAGAAGCAAGGAGAAAACCAGAAGGAAGCACGGAGGAGCTGGAAAAGCCCAAGGTATGGAGACACGCGGCACGCGGAGAGGACGGAGCCGGAGAGGAGGGAGGCTGAGTGCCTGGCGGGCGTTCCCTGGCGGGAAGGAGATAAAAGCTCTGACTGTGCTGGGCCCCCGACTGCTCTGAACCCCAGTTCTGGGCCAGACCCCGGGGACTCAGGCTCATCCAGAGGGAGCTGGGCTGCGAGGCGAAACCCGGGGAAGCGGCGAAAGGAGGTCCCGGGGGCACGCACATTGCGCGCAGAGAAGAGACGGCCGGCTGTGCCGCGGGATTGCCTGGCAGGAAGGAGACTGGGGCTCCGGACTGCTCTGAATGCCACCTCCAACTCCACTTCCAACTGAACTGAACCCCAGTTCCAGGCTCAGTGGGGGAGAGCCTAGACTGTCTGGCAGCAGGCGAAAATCGAGGGCACCTTTCTCTCAGAGGCGCCGGCAGCGAGCACTGAAGGACCCGCATAGGGCAGGGCTGACGGAAGCCAAGGCTGCAGGCTCCACCCTGAAACCCCGACCCATCTGTAACTGCGAAATGCAACAACGAAATAGATCACAAACGAAAGAAATGGAGGACAAAAAGCGTCTGGATATAGAGTTCAAATCTACGCTTATAAGATTTTTCAAGAATTTCCTAGAAAAGATGGATAAGACCTATGAGGATATGAAAAGAGATCAACTAGAATTAATAAGGAGTCATCAAAAAATGATAAGGGATCAACAAGAAATAAAGAATACATTTTCTGAAATAAAAAATATTTTACGGAGTCCTAAAAACAGAAGGGAAGATCGCAAGAATCAAGTCAAAGATTTGGAACATAAAGAGCCAGAAGACACTCCTCCACAGAAGCTAGAAGGCAAGAGAATCCAGAAAATTGAAGATAATGTAAGAAACCTCTGGGACAACTTCAAATGATCCAACATCAGAATTATGGGGGTCCCAGAAGATGAGAGAGAGCAAGATATCGAAAACATACTGAAAGAAATAGTGACAGAAAACTTCCCCCACATGGTGAAAGAATTAGACTTACATGTCCAGGAAGCGCACAGAACTCCAAACAAAAGGAATCCAAAGAGGACCACACCAAGGCAAATCATAATTAAAATTCCAAGAGCAAAAGACAAAGAGAGAATATTAAAAGAAGCAAGAGCAAAGAAGGTAGTTACCTATACAGGAGCACCTATACAATTGTCAGCTGACTTCTCAACAGAAACCATGCAGGCCAGAAGGGAATGGCAAGAAATATTCAAGGTGATGAATAGTAAGAACCTACAGCCAAAGATAATCTATCCAGCAAAGCTATCACTCAGAATTGAAGGGCAGATAAAGAGCTTCACTAATAAAAAAAAGCTAAAGGAGTTCACCACCACCAAACCAGAATTATATGAATTGCTGAAGGGGGTTCTTTCAGAAGAGAAAGTAAACAAAGTTAAAAACTATGAACAACAAATACGTAACTATCAACAAGTGAATCTAAAAACCAAGGAAATTAAAAAAAATTGATTAACAATATTAACTGGTGAATATAATAGAATCAGAGGTATGGAAGGGGAGTGAACTGACGATTCTTGGGGAAAAGGGGAGTGGGGGATGTGGGAAGAGACTGAACATAAACTATGCACCTATGAATGAGGACAATGGGAAGTGGGGAAAGGGCAGAGGGTGGGGTGGGAACCTGGTGGAGGAGAGCAATGGTGGGGAGGAAAAAA